AATTTTGGAGTAAGATGAGACCCGGTGTAAGTTTCACACGATGAGTCAAAATAGTTAGGAAACGGCAGAATTTCACTACTTGTGTTGAGAGATTAAAACGCCAATAACTTTCCAAAATAGCTATAGATCTGCGGTTTGTGCAGCTAGGCTCAGCTCGAGGAGCTTTACAAAATGAGGTTGGTCTTACGGTTTGCGCCAAAACTTTTGTAACGTGTGGTATGCTTCAGATGACTTTATTCAGTTCATCTTCTAATTTATGATGACGATTCATTTCCCTTTGTAATGTTGTCCCTTTGTAATGTTTTAATTCTTTCTCGGAGTCGGGGATATTTCGGATCTAGTAAAAAAATCTGTACATCCTACAGAAAACCATCTAAACGTATCAAGAGATATCTGTGAAAAAATTATTATAAGGCTATTTAACGTTTTTTGAATATCTCGTTGATAACTTTTCCAAATCAATCTTATTCTAAATAATTTTGTCTTTTCATATGAGTTGTATCCAATATTGTCTCGAAACTGTGATTCTCATAGAAAAATATGCCAAAAAAAGAATGCAAATTATAATGACTGATACTTTAGAAGACATGTCATCTTCGAGTTCTCGTTTAATAACGAAAACAAGCTTTCATAATCCTGTTGATTTTTTACTCGTCTGTCATCATTATCATTATAATTTCCGCCAACGTCCTATTAGATTCAATCGGAACCCTCCATTTTGTATGCGACCTATATTGGAAGGTATTATGCGGTCGGTCCCAGAGATGGGCAACTCTAAGCTTCTTTTTAGTGGAGTTGGAGCTGAGTTTTTATTAGACTGGAGTTGGGTTGAGTTAAGATTTTTTCAACTCCAACTCCATAGTTCTCGTTCAAACTTTATACAACTCTGGGGGTATTTTCCCCTTCGTTTGTTACATCACACTGTCGCTTTATAAAGCGATGTGACCATGTATTCAACGTTTATATTCTGCATATGTTATGACTGACACTCACGTGCATATACATGCAAGCCATGATCGTATGATCTCGAAATAGCAAAACAGAGAAAACATTGAAGCATTATCGCTTTCGGTGATGGTCATTAGAGTTGATCGAAAAAAGGCTCGTGTTTTTTCTTTTTCATGTGTATTTCTTAAAAGGAATAAACAACTACTAATAAAGTAACGCGAAGAAAACGAATCAAAACAAGATAAATTCTCAGCGAACTTGAAACGGAGTTGGAGTTGAAGTTCAGTTGGAGTTGAAATTTTTAATTGGAGCTGGAGTTGAGCGTAGCCGAAGTTGCTCATCTCTGATCGGTCCTTCAGAAAGTTCTCATCATAACATCCTGCATAGAATCTTATAGACTCCGAAGGATCTCATTGGATGCTCCTCGGGGAAATGTTACAGTTTTATAGAAATCATATGGAAGAATCCGCCGATGGAGTACAGTAATACTCATACCATACTTCAGTTATCTTAGAGGGCAAGAAATTTACATCTTGGGATGAGAGAAAATCGGCTTGGAATCCGAGCATTTCTTCTCAAAATGGCAACTTTGAAGTCAAAGATCTCAGGATCGAGACCAAATGTGGGCTCGAAACATTTTTCATAATCAAACTTTGATATAGTCTATCTGAAAATATTATTAAGAGTTCTTACGTTTCTTTCGTTTCAATAAGATAGGACTCCAAGGTTCACAACTGTAGCTCTCAGCGCAACATCTATTCTGTAAAGTCGAAATTACATCGGCAGCTCGCGATTGCTTTACTCTGTAGTGAATACTGTACAGTACTTATGGTAAAATTTTCCAGTCTCTACCACAGGTCTTTACCAAGTTATACGCGGTCAAAATTGACTATTTTGATACCCCTCAGATCAAACAATCCTACGGTAGAATCCTAATAGAATTGCTTGATCTGGGCCCATTCAAATTTCTTTTTTTTTGATTTTTACGGCTTTTCGTAAAATTAGAATATCAGCCGATTTTCAACATTTTGGCCTGCGGTTTTCGGCAAAGTTCATCAAAATGTGTGTTCTGCAACAGTTCCTTACATAGGAAAAAATCTGAGACGGTCAATTAAGCGCCAAGATCGTGGGTTAAAAAAATGGTTCTCAAAACATTTCGAGAAAACAAATTGATTATTATCAAAACAGAAGATAGCTTCAGAGGAAAGAATGATACATTTTCAATTTCAACCACAGAATAAGTGAGAAAATATATTTTGAAAGAGCAATACTTTGATCGAATGTTTTCAAAAACCGCCAAATACGTTAGTTTTGAGAAAAATCAGCCAGTAGACATTATTTATTTATTACTATGTATTGTATAAACCATCCAATGATGACTAATGAAACGATTGTTGAACGAATAAATACTGTTGGTGAATTATCGGTGGTTGGTGGTTTGTTGGTAGTTTGTTGGTAAAGATCGTAAAATTTATCATCGACATTAATGGTACTAATAAGATTTTTTCGTATTTCGTCGAAGATTTCAATTCGACTACAATCATCTGCCCGACAGAATACATCAATTTCCCATAAATCTAATTTTTTTTCATCTAAATACCAAATTGCTTCCAAAATTATTTTATGTTTATTAATTTCATTGCCAGGACCGCTATCATCTGTACACTTTGAATTATAACAAAATTCTGTTGAATCTGGTTTATCGAATCTATCTTTGACGAAACAAGTTCCACTACACGATTTAACAGGACATCTTGATTCATCAATGAAAAATTGTGTGTCTGCACATACTTCAAAATCCGAACATTCGTGACAATCTCGGCTTGTTATTGTCGGATTTTCTAATATATTTTCATCCAACCATGATTTTCTGAGCCTTAAGTCAAAACTATTTGGTAATAACGAAATTATTTCGGGTTTATTACACAAATCCCAATTACAGCCATAGGTAATCTCATCGTGTCTTGTATACCAGTATTTTTCGCTTTCATCATACATTATTGATTCTTGAACTGATATATAATGAGGAGTTTTGACAAAAACTTTTGTCGAATTTCGTTCAATATGTTCCAAACTAATATCATACGTGTCCTCATCGAGCTTATCCCGAATAATTACACAATAAGTTTCAGTACCGGGAAATGGATTTGATGAGGTATCTGTACAATTACACGGCTGAGTAGTACAACGACAATTGTAACATGTAAGACCGTTTGACAATAAAGTATTGATAAATAATGTAAAGACAATAGGATACAACATTATTATGAAATGTATGACAGAAGTAGGCGAAAAATTCTTCGTGATACTGACAAATGAGTAAATCAAGAAAAAATGTTTATATTAGATGTTTATTTACCAAGTTATAAAATACAAGAAGCATTGTCTTCAAGAGGATTGTGATAATAGAAAAAAAAGACCTAAAAACTTTTTATAACACACGCTATAATAAAAACATAAAATACTTATGAAATTTAATTCAGTAAAATATATTTTGTTTCAAAATTACAAAAATTACAATTGGATCAAATATTCACTACTGTAATAAAAATTTGGGATTCGATCGGATCATTTTTTTAAGGGATTCTAATGTGACTGAATTGGAACCAAGTATGTTTTCTGCATTACTCTTAACATTGAACAGGGTACTCTTTGCAGGTCATTTGCAGTAATGTTCATGCCTCTGCGTATAATCATCGAAAATTTTCAGAAAAGATTTCGTTGTAAAGAGAACACTTTGGTCTATCAGGCTAAATATAAGAAAAAATTTTGAAGACAGTCGAAACAAAAGAAAAATTTATTAAAGTTTTTCGGGCTCTTGAGTTAAAACTTAAAAAACTTATAACTTTAATAAAAAAAAATGGTCATGGAAGACTGAAAGTGAACTTATATTGTAACTCTGATTTTCCGTTACATTCAACTCAAAATAAAAACTTTTATCAAAAGTGTATGCTTTAAAGCCTTTTATACTGTTTTTTTCTTTAAATCTGAAGCATCAATATTTTTTTATTACTGTGCATGACTTGTAATAAACGCATAGCTGTATATTTAACTTCGTAGTCAACAATGGTATCGTGAATGACACAAAGCTTGTGTGATTCACATTAAAGGATTTGTATAATATAAACTGAACTGACCAAGGGACATTTACAAATACATGTTTCGTTGCATAAATTAAACAATTTCTTAAATTTAACCAGCAAAGTCAATGGCCTTATTTAGTCTCCTGTTGACTAAATAATATACAAACAGCTGTTTGGTTTCCTGGGTCAATAAGTTAATGTGTCCTGAACGGTCCATTAACGGGCGTGTTCTGTATTAGTACCAAGAAAATTCCTTGCTTTCTAATCTTAGATTTTCACGGGCGAAGGTGGTGAGTTGATTAATTTAACGGAAAAACACCGGCTGAATATATTCAGATAAGAGCAATAATCAGTCATGTTTATGCAATGCCATTTCGTCGAAGCTGGCTAGAATATTTCAATTTTTTAACAACAAGATTTCAATGTTTATTTATTAATATGCTGCCAAATAAAGTTATACTAAAGATTCTAGCCATGGTGCGTTGTATTGAAGAATTTAGATTATATCTGTTAGTACGAGAATTTACGGTGGAAACTGACCATTGTCCGTTGTGTAATTTTCATAAAAAATCGTCCAAAAATGGTCGGGTGGATAGATGGTCAATTGGTTTAGATGAATAGGATATCGTTGAAATAAAACATAAAAAAGGTAAATGTAATTGTGATGCGGATTTAATGTCAAGATATCCAGCAACAACATCCAATGACCAGATAACATCAAGAAACGTTAGAGGTATAATGAATGATACACTAATTGACGATGAAGAAGAAACAAATCCACAAGTTAATGTAATTACTAGAGCAGCAGCTAAAGCAATTACGAGTAATAACAATAACAAGACAATAGCATTAACTGGTAATCACACTAAATCCCCAAAGCCAGCTCAAACGATGACACCATATTTATCCACAACTGCAATGCAACTACGTCCAAGAAATAAAATAATAAATCCCAAAACATCGATCGGTATACCGTCAACGTCTCTGCCAGCGATCAGCAAGGTATCCACAGCAACACCATCAACAGACTTTGATATTACAAAATTAAAAATGGAACAACAACAGGATACAGTCATCCTCGATAAAATCAAAGAAACCAAGCAAGATCCAACTATATTGTCGTATGAGGTAGTCGATGGTCTTTTATACAAGATTGCGTCTAGAAAGGGCGCCAAGGACGTCAAATTACCATATCTACCACAATCAATGATTCCAAAAGTCATGGCTGCTTATCATGATCATCCAACAAGTGGACATTTTGGCATAAGACGGACACGGCATAAATTAAAAGATCGATATTTCTGGCCCAGTATGATGTCAACAATCGAAAATTATAATAAGTCATGTGAAAAATGTGCCAAGTTTAACATCCGAAGAACCAAAGCACCAGGTAAATTACATCCTATCACACCACCCGAGGGTATATTCGAAACAATTGGAATGGATTTTTTTGGGTCCAATACCTTATCCATCGGCTGAAGGAAACAGGTATGTGTTGGTAGTAACGGATTATTTATATGTCATAGCCAAAGCCATGCCAAACAACACAGCAGTAACAACAGCACAATTCATTGTTGAAGATGTCATATTGAAATATGGTGTACCCAGAAAATTAATTACAGATCAAGGATCACACTTTAAGAACGAATTGATGGGCAACATTACTCGGCTTTGTGATGCAAACACGTCTTTGCAACAACATACCATCCCCAAACAAACGGACAGGTTGAACGTTTCAATGCAATCTTTTATTCACAATTGGCAAAATTACATGATGGAAATGTTAATGATTGGGATGCATACTTAACCGCATGTGTATCTGCCTACAACACTACAATCGGTTAATGAATGGCTACAAAAAGAGTGTAAAGTACAACATCAATTACCAACAACAGTTGGCGAAACGACGTTATGACAAGGGACGTGCCAATCCAATTTATCATCCAGGTGATTTAATATCTATCAAACAGTATGGTAAACGTCCAAAATTCGGTGAATTATATTCTGGACCATACAAAGTGATACAATAACAACATCCACTGGCATATTTAGTGGAAGATGAAGAATCATCAATTCAAGAACAGGTTCATGTCGGCAGAATACAACCGGTTTATCAACGAATGATCTAAATTTATGTTATTAGTATTACATTTGATGGTGTTATATGGTACTGGTACTAGGTAATTGGAAGGCTATAGTGATTATTATGACATAAAATTATATAATTTATGTGATTAGCACGATATCGGGGAGAGTTCCTTAGCTTTCACTGATTGATAGGACGAGTTATATATTATTCAAATATCATTTACATCATAATAATAATGGAAATGTTTATAACACCACCCAGTGTTTGCTCATAATGATAATGAGGATTAATTTAGCTAGGCTCACATGTTTCACATAGATACATTATCATTCTATTTTATGGTAGGTCGACACATCGTAATTTGTTAATGGTAATGTTCAAATACTTCCATGATGAAATTCTTGGATGTGATAGTGATCGGCACAATACCTGATCCCAAAGACCGATCATCAAATCAAACAACAGCAACATAAGCGGGTATTTTACAAACTAACAACAAGTCTCTGTAACATCAAGCTCTTCTATTTTTTTTTATTGTGATGTTGCGGTGATTTTTATGAACGGGACGTTCATCTTCTCGGTGGAGGGAGGTGTTAGGAAGTGAATACGTTCGCTCCCTAAGTTAAAGGTCATTATCTTTTAACTGTTTCATCATGTATTTCGTTTATCTCTTCTCGTTCCCTTTTTATGTGTCATTATACATATGATCTCTTTCTTTTGTCATTTCATCATACATATGTTCTCTTTCTTTTTTGTCTATTTCGTCATACATATGATCTTGTTCGGTTTTTGCGATATCATATGGTAGTTATCTATTTCCTCTGACTAATGGTCTTGTACGCTCTTCTAGGTACTATTTCATCATTCATAGGATTTCAATCTCTTTTCATTACGTCATTGGGTTCCAGATAATCCTAGTTTGGTGTGATTTAGAGTTGCATCATTTTATTCATTTTAAATGTTTGATTTTTTGCTATAAATAACGATGTATTCGATGTGGTTCGATAGGTTTTTGTTGAATACAAATAAAGTTTTATTTGCTCGATCAACTTAGACTTTTCAATCGGTGAAAGGGATTTTCACCTGGTGACAGCGCTCGATCTAACACGGCGTTCGTTCCAGAGTGGAACGATCGTTATTCAGCATGTCATAGTGGAGTTTTATCTACTTTGCTCTGAGGCTCAAGGTGAACAAAGCAGATACAGTAAACTGTTTTCTCCGAATTAGTTAGAATTTACCGTCAAAAGTAAGTTTACAGAATAAAGGCGGCCAGGTGAACTGATGTAATAAAGTTACTTCAAAGATTTTTAATTTCAGTCTTTTCAGCAATATTTTTAACTTAATGTGTCAATATAGATCAGAGTTTTGCATGTCACATAAGAAATAGCACTAAGCGCTACAAATCTATTGTGTTTCAGGCGTAAAGAGAAGAAAAAATTCACTTTATGACAAAACAAGCCGTTAGTTCATCCGATGCAGTTTTCTGCTTTGAAAACAACCTTAATGAAATTTGTTTTAACTACGCCAGTTTTGTAGCCCGTGTATAGTTTTTTGAAAGTTTTATCGGAGTTCATATTATATATTTAAAAAACTCATACACATACAAATTTTTCGAAATACACGCTGTTATGCGTTAGAATGAATATTAAAACACGTTTTTACACATCCCTGCCTTTTCATAATTATTCGACAAGAAAGAAACAGTCCTTCTCCTTCTATACATTGAAAAAATTTATTTGCCTAATTAAGCTAATCTAAAACCGAGAGCTCACAAAAATATATTTAAACACATCATCGAGCGATGACGTGTTTAAATATATTTTTGTGGGCTCTCGGTTTTAGATTAGCTTAATTAGGCGAATCCAGATGTCTCAAATCAGAGTTGTAACCGGTCTAAAAATAAGAGGCCGATCCAAAACAGCAGAACAGACCGGGTCGGCAAAAGACCTGTGAGTTTTGAAAAATTCTCTAGACTAGTTAAATAACGGCAGAGAACTGGCCCGTTTTCAAAGATTTTCTAGACGAACAAGAGGGTAGAAAAACTCACTTTTTTTTAGTGAAGAAGAGAAAAATTCTAAGAATTTCAAAACCGGCAAAACACCGGTCAGTTTGCAAAAACTTTCTAGACCGACAAAAGACCGCTAGAGACCGGCCAGTCTAAACTTCTACACCGAAACGGAGCGGGCCGGCCGGTTACAACTCTGTCTCAAATTCGGTGACTCATGGGGGACAGAACAAAGGAATCACCATGATAGTCCTTTGTTCTGTCCCCATGAGTCACGGAATTTGAGACCTCGGGGATTCGATGCACGCCTAGTCAAAACGTCTTTGAAACGTGCAGTAACTTTTATAGCAGTAACTTTCCCACACCAGTCAGGTATGGTACTTATCTGCGAAACCTCATTAAGGTTTAGTAATCGAAGAGATTTCGTATGATACCCTTCAAGATTTTGTATCATACTCTTCAAGGTTTCGTATTCGAACAGGTTTCATAACACACCTCTTGAAGGTATAGTAGTAGAAAACATTTCGTACTATACCTCTCTCTGTGATACTCTCATATGAGAGGGCGCTTTTTTTTTTGTTCGCAGCCAGGATAGCTGAGAAATGTTGTGAACTTCACTGATTCCGTGGAAAAAGCGCCCACTGTAATTAAAGCTAGAAAGTTTTCTGGATACCCTCTGAAGACCCCAAGGAAACTGGAAGCATTCTGTAAGTTTTATTATCCGTAGGTGACTTTTTTGTGTTATCAAAACTGACTGATCTTTTTTTGCCTTTTTTTACTCTACAATCCATATTTACACGTATTTTTACTAGAAGATGATTTTATTCTCAAACGACAAGTTTTGTGCATAAGCGGCTTTTCTTTGGTGATACTTGCATTTTTTCGATTGTTTTTGTTGCTAGGAAGTAGAAATAAATAAATTCAAGACATATACAAAAGTAAACTATATAAAATCCATACGTAGAATTAGTAACCTCTACGGAACTTTTTTTGAAAGCAGGGGGAAAAGGTATCGTACGAGACCTTGTTCGTACAGAACTTTAAAAAAGGTTTCGAAATCGTTTCAATTCTCGAAACCCTTTCTAAGTTGGGTACGGCGCCTTTTTATTTTAGAGTACACCTCTATGAAAGACTTCTGGAATCTATTTTCCAGACTTTTCTAGACGTGAGAAGTAACTGTGTTGTGATTAACTTAGTGACGTTGAAAATAATATTGGAGTAATTTGTAACGTTGATGGCGAATATGACATTGCCTGCGAGGATTTTCAACAAAAGCCTTCTAGAGATTTCGTAGTTTTTGAAGTATTTAAAGTGAAAATCGAAGCGACCGATCGTTACACCCAATTTCTGTCGGTTTTTACATATTTTCATGACTTTACGGTACGATGGCATACGACAAACAACATAAAAACACAACAAAAATCATTTCTTTGAATTAAACATAATTCGAGAGCTGAAAAGCGTCTCCCGTCATTGTTTTAGAACAAAAGAAGACTATGTACAAAAAGACGACTATTTTTAAATGTGGGTCTTTGTGAGTGGCATAGAGGACGAGTAGTAGAGGATTGAGTAGCAACCGAGTCCGAGTACCCAGGCCCGATACATGTCTAGTTTCGATGCGTTTTAGTAAAGGGTGACACTATTGAAAATAGAGCAATAGATGGATAATGCTGAATTTTGTCCCAATGGAGACAGATGTGTGCGTATGTGCAAATGAGTAACAAGAGTAGGCGAAGAGGGAAAAGGTATTCAGAAAAATGATATTAATCATATAAATGGTTCATTAGTAAAAAGAGTCTACGTGTAAACCTGTAATTAAATCAATCTGCAGCGTTCCGTATCTACATAGAAGTCCCTTCCATGCTTAGCTGCGAACAAATTTCTCTCATGAGTAGTCTATTCCGTGAGTAAAATGTCCTCGTGACACAGACCATTAAATATACTGATGCACATTAACTTTTTCTTTTTAGAAGATTAAAAAGAAAAAAAATAATAATCACAGATGGCATAGGTATTGAAAGAAATGAAGCATATTACAGCCCATGTTGAATTCTTAAAATTGAGAAAAATAAAAGGATCATCCACACGACATTAACTGTTAAACTAGTGTTTCTTTTACAAAAAATAATTTTAATTACAATTTTCTCCTATGTCATTTATTTACTTTTATATTGAATATCTTTCGGTTGCAATAGACAAAGCCTCACAATTTGGATGCTTTAAGTTATTCATTGTTGATATGACACGAAGAAAAAACATGTTTTTTTAAAATCTTTACATACTAGGAAACAAAATTTTATCATCAAAGTCGATGATTCCTTTTGTCTCTCTTCGAGATTTATAGTAAAAGTTAGCTATTCTACTTTTATATAAAATCTACCAACCTATATTTTCTAAACCATTATATTTTTTGTTTTTCTACCCTCTCTTTTATATATATTTTATCACAGTTAGAAAAGTAAAAAATATAGTCAAATATTGCCATATTTATTTAGCACTGTTTTGTAGCAGTATGCTTCAGATCAATCATATTTCATTTGCATAATTGGCACATTAATAATAATGGTACGTAAAAGTGAGATTATGACAATTCTGAGTAAATTGTTTTCATATCATAATGAGTAACCTCAGATTTGAAACGGTTATTAGATGAATTTTTTAACTCTTTAATTTAAATTAGTCTAATAGGAAAAACAAGTCTCTATCTTAGTAAATCTTTTTTTCATTTTCATCCATATTGTTTAGAAAAACATTTTTGTTTTTCTGTCAGGAAAATAAATGTCAAAATTATTGATCCGTAAAGATTGATCAGCCGGTTCGTACTTTTTTTCAAAAAAAGAATTCAATATAATTAAATATACTTTAGTTTATTATAAGACTAACATCATCTTATACATAGTGAAGTTAACTGTTGCATTTGAGACTAGTTTCGTCTTTATTCAATGACATCAGCAGTGTCAAATTGACTGATGATGTCTTTGAATAAAGACGAAACTAGTCTCAAATGCAACAGTTAACTTCACTATGTATAAGATGATGTTAGTCTTATTATCGATTATGAAAGATTTCATCATTAAAAATGATTCAAAAGTACTTTAATTTGATGTTCTACTATTTTTGAACATAAAAGTAAATGAAAGAGATGATGAATGATTTAAAAACACTGTTTCTTTATCGATCTCACCATAAAATGTTTTTTTATTTGCATATCTAAAAATTTTAACGAAATACAACCTTTGCATTTTGTCATGCTTATGATAATTTAAAATCATCAACTCTTCAAAAACGAGACTATCGACCAGATTTTTCTTAACTATTTATTCTAGTTTTTTCTTTTCTATTTCTCACTTGAGAATTTATGTCAGATAAGAAACACACGCCATTTATTACGCACTAGATCAAAAATAATGTTGTTCTATGTTTTATCTGAATCTTTTCTTGTTCTGGGAAATAAACAATCGACATTTGATTGAATAATTGAACATAATAATGACAGAATGAAAGAAGAAGAACGGTAATTTATTTGGTGGAATATAAAATAAAAATTCAAGGACATAATTAGATTTAAAATAAGAATAATATTAAAAAAATAAAAAAGTTTACTCAAATGTTTTAAGAATGTACCGAAGATTAATAATGCTCGTTTCTCTAATAAAAGTTTAAGTAAATTATTTGTTTTATAAGATATTTCTACTAATTAAAGGAAATATCTTTGCCATTAAAATGTATTATACCTCTTAGTATAGAGTTTGAATGTCAGGTTAGACTAATTAAAGTTAATGAGTCCAATGTTTCTGCAATTTTTTATAATAACAAAAGTTTTGGTTTAACATCAGTTCAAAAACTATCAATGTCAAAATAAAGCATCAGTTTTCTTTCGTATATTTTATTTTAACAGTTTATATTTGTAAGTACCTTTTTAGCTTGCTTGAAGCAATTTATCATTTCTGAATAATAGTTTTATTGTATGTAAAACAAAAAAAAAGAAGAGCAGAGAAATATAAAACTGGATAAAAACATCCTTTTTTTTGTCTTTTTCTTTATCTATATCTACTAGCTACTTCCTTATTAAATATTCTTTATCGTCATTCTCTTCTCATCACTTTTTTTTTCTTCTTACACTCTCATTTTCTGTTTTTCTTTTTGTTTGAATGCACCTCTACTCATTTGCCACAACATTTACGTTTAATATGGCATAAACACATAAGTTGAATTAAATGGAAAAAAATAAAAAATAAAAATATCCTGCACTATATCGAAGTTTTATAATCTGCCAAGAGATCTAGAATAGTGCTTCGAGCTATAAGGATATAACAGAAGATTCAAAATACAGCGTTCTCTTTGTATATGTTCATGCGTGCGTACGTCCGTTTATTATTAAAGACAACATGGAAAATATCTTTTAAAACATGAAAAATAATATAAATATAACAAAAATAGAATAAATCTCACTATTACTACCTTCAATGGAAACTGTATGTTACGTAATATTAAAATAAGGTATTTATAATGGTTTTTGTTTTTTGAAAAAATAAAACAGCTGGTAAATGTTCAATCATCCTACACAAAAAAGTTAAGGAAAGAAAACTACACTGAAATAGAATTTTGATGAATTTAACAGTTTTTCACAGTTTTCCTAATATGGTTCGTGTAAGATGAATGAAATAAAAACTAGATTGTATCTATGAATTTTCAATTAAATTCTAATTTAATTGTTTGCAGAATCTAATTAATCAAATAGCAAGATGTCTTTAACTGGTAATAGTGCATCAAGCACCGGTCAATCGAGAAAATCCAACATAAGAATAGATATGAAAAAACGTCAGGGTGGAAAAACAAGTTTATATAAACAATTGTATGCTAATGGTGGTAAAAACTTAAGTGGAGTAAGTTATTGAAAATGATTTTATTTTCTCTGAAAAAGATTTATAAAAATTCTCTTTTACTCTCTGTTAAGGAAGTCAGTATCAATGAACGATTTGTTCACGCATGTGAAAATGGTGATTATAATACGGTGAATAGAATATTAGAAGAAGTAAAAGGTTTTAATATTGATGTTACAGATCAACTTGGACGAACAGCAATGAGGTAAATAATGAATGAATAATTCTTTGTCTATCACTGATAATATATACAATTTATGGTATTATTCTTCTATGTTAGACTGGCTGTTGAAAATGAACATTTAGAAGTAAATATTTCAATGTTAATATAATAAAGCTTATTCTATAATATATTATTTATGTTTAAGGTGGTAACATTATTACTTCAGTATTGTGATGGACAAAAAATGCGTGAAGCACTATTATTAGCCATTTATTTGGGACATGTTCAAATAGCTGAATTATGTTTAAGACATCCAAAATTTAAATTTTTAAATGAAAAAAGATTTTTAAATGGTGATAGCGATTCATTTTGGCAAGTAAGTGTTTAACTTAATTTAATTTAATTCAGCTATAAATTTGCGTATATTTATATTTATTCTATTTCAGACACCATCGTCGGATGATGCACAATTTGCACCGGATATTACACCGTTGATACTTGCCTCTCAATATAATCGTACAGAAATAGGTGGGCTTGCGTATGCTACCCGAGGAGTATTATACACTTATTTTTATCATAATTCAATAACTATCTTACATTGTCTAACAGCGGTATTGATTAATGTTTTATTCTATTTTTAGTTCAATTGCTGTTACGTGGTGGCGATCGGATCACCAAACCACATGATTATCATTGCAAATGTCAAGAATGTCATAATAAATTTAAATTTGATTCATTAAGACATGCCCAATCACGTTTAAATGCTTATCGTGGATTAGCAAGTGAAAGTTATATATCATTAGCTAGTATTGATCCAATAGTAACCGCATTTGAACTCGGACATGAATTAAGAAATTTATCAGGAAAAGAAAAATATTTTAAGGTAAAAACTGTGTGAAATTAAATTTAATATTTTCCAAAATAAACAGATCTACAACATTGTATCTCATTTTAGAATGAATATACTGCTTTAGCCGATCATTTGAGTACGTATGCTGTTAAACTTTTAGACAAAGTACGTGGACATAAAGAATTAGATTGTGTTTTGGGTAAAACTGGAAAAGAAACAGAAGAAAAATATTTTACATTAGCTCGATTAGATTTAGCTATTAAATATCAAGAAAAACCGGTAAGTTATTTGAATAAAAAATAAAAATCTATCACATATAATTTTATTTTATTGATAATATATATAGTTTGTTGCTCATTCAAATTGTCAACAAAAGTTAGTTGAAATATGGCATAATGGAATACGAAAAATCTTTAAATTAAATCAATTATTTTTATTTTTATTAATATTTGTATACATTATTTTGTGGCCATTTGCTTGTCTTGTGTATATATTCGGATCTTGGACTAAACGTACGATTAAAGTAAGTACATCAATTTTTTGTTTTTATTTTTATTTTATAAAATAAATAATAATATATTTTTATAGATTCAACAACTTCTTAATCAACCATGTATTAAATTTATTAGTCATACTATATCTTATGCAATATTCATTATTTTAATTATTTTATCAAGTCTGCTATTTTCAAGTGAAATAAAAAAAAATCAAATAAAACTATCAAACTATAATATGACTCTATCTAATATACTTAATTATTCAATTATTCAATGTCAAACATCATTGTACAATTGTACATATATACCATATTATCCTGATTTCTATTTTCGACAACGATCACCTACTTGGCTTGATATTACAATAACCGTATTTGTTATTGGTAAATAATATGAACATATAATTTTAATTATAGAATATATTTAATTATATCTTTTTGTTTTCTTAAAGGTTTTCTATGGCATGAAATAAAACAAATTTATAGTGATGGAATCAGAGATTATCTATTATCATGGAATAATATTGTTGATTCATGTATGAATATATTATATATCACATCATTTTCTCTTAAATATTATGTTTTTATTGAAGTAAGTAACAGATGTATGAGATATACTGTTTTGACCTATCAATATCATAATTATAGGTTGCATATGCTGTTAAAAGATTATCTCAAAATAGTTTTCAACAAAAAGTTGAAAATGTATATAAATTAAATGCTTCTGACCAATGGGATGTTTGGTATACATTTTATTGGCTTAATGCTGGTAAGACTTAATTATTTTTTTAATAATTTTAATTATATTAACTATTTCTCTATTTTTTTTTTATAATAGATCGTTTTTATTGGGTAGCATGTGATCCGAACAATGTTGGCGAAGGTTTATTTGCCATAGCAAATATATGTAGTTTTTCTCGAATTTGTTTTCTTCTACCAGCCTTTCAACATTTGGGACCGTTACAAATATCGTTGGGACGAATGATGTCCGTATGTATTACTTAGACGATATGATGATATTCTATTGATATTTTACAATTCATTTTAACATTTTCTAGGATATTGGCAAATTTATTATTATATTCATGGTTATATTTTGTGCTTTTATGTTTGGTTTAAATAATTTATTTTGGTACTATAGTGCAAGTGTGAGAGGTAATGTTGAAATACTATCACACTTGGATGAGAATAACCCGTTACAAGCTGAAACATTTTTTGGAACGTATGTCAATCATAATTAAGTATCTTTTCATATTAAAATTTAAACACAACTTTTCTTTTCAGAATGAGTGAAACATTTAAAACTGTCTTTTGGTCATTATTTGGCTTATCCGAAAAAGATGGTGTTCTGTTAGGCGATTATAATAATAGATTTACTGAAACAGTTGGTTATTTAATATATGGTACTTTTAATATTGCCAGTGTCATTGTATTACTTAATATGTTAATTGCTATGATGTCTAAAAGTTATGAAACAATAGTAGAACATGCTGATGTTGAATGGAAATTTGCACGTAGTAAACTGTACATGGAATATATCAAAGAAGGTATTTTATTCTCTACTATGTGTTTAGGTTATCATATTGCTATTTTAGTCTTGTGTTTGTCTTCTTAGGTGCATCTTTACCGGTACCATTCAACATTGTTCCCACACCTAAAAGTATCTATTATTTGTATCGAAGAATATTTCAATGTGGAAAATTACGTGAGAGCGAACAACAAAAAATAAATAATGAACAATTGGGACATTATGACTTACCGATAGAGAGGCGTTTCGATATAAATCCCACATTTCAGCAACAAAATGGTGGCGGTGGTAGTGCTCTTGGAGCAACAACTGATGGTAATAAACAAATTCAACAACGTCGCAAATCATTTGAAATAAATCAACCGTTAACATATCGTAAAGTAATGGAACGTGTTATTAAACGCTTTTTGTTACATAAACAACGTGAGGAGCAAGATGAAATACGTGAAGGAGATTTTGATGAATTGAAACAAGATATACAAATGTTACGATTTGAATTAATGAATCGATTAGAAGATATGAGAGACGAATTATCCAAAACATCCACGTTGCTAAATGATGGTATAATAGTTGTTGGTGAGCAACTATCCTATCTAAATCGTGATATAAATCCAAATGGCGTTGAATTATTTCAAGTATTTAAACAAAATTTTGAAAAAACCTTGGAGCACATAAAATCGATAGATAGTGGAATGGATGATACTAATACTACTCGAACAGAATCTATTACATCTGAAGGAGATTCATCATCAAAAACAATATTGTCACCGAGTGTATCATCGTTACCTAATTTTAATACAAATGAATCAATAAGTTTCGATTCCACTTCAACTTCAGTCTTACTTCATACATCACATTCTGTACCAAATTTATTAAAAAACGAAGATAATAAGAACGATTTAAGAAAGATTTTATCGAATAACGTTTTAACAGAAAAAACGTCGGGTTTTACACGTGTAATGCCCACTGTAAATCCCATTCAAGCTATTCGAAGTTTGAGTTCTATAAAAATGAATTTAATTGAACCGATTGCTGAAGAAAATTCTGATAATTTAGATGATGATCTTGATGAAATGACGACATCGATGGTACAACAAGAGCAAAAAAATAGTTTACAAGTTTCAGAAAAAATTGATATAAACGATGATATTGATATTGAAATAGATGCCGCTGAACAATCATGTCAAACGTCGGATCAGGATGTTTACTTTTAAAATGTTATGTTATGTTATTGTTTATAATTTTGTTCGCGCTTGCCTTTTTTTCAAATTGTTATAGTCTTTTCTTGATGCTTGGACTATCAACTGAATAAGAGTAGTTTTAATCATACATTACCCATTATCATGTTCAACATGAGTTTTATTTCATTATCAAACGTTTTTTCCGACGTTCTGTGTCAAAAAACAGAGAGCTTCACTTGTACATTCTTTAGCAATACCTGTTAAAAATTTTACGAGCGTTTGTGCAACATGTCATTGTTCGACTTGGTTCACAGATTCTCAGAAACGCGATAGAGTGCTTAGGCGTAATTTCTTTTAACAAATAAATGCTTATCAATACGTTTTATTGTTCCGACAATCAATGCTTCAGACTGGCAGCAACTAAGAGCAATTAAATAAAGAATATCTGTCGAATGAGAAAGATACTTATAAGATTTAATAAGTTCGTGAATAAATAGAAAGAAATGAAGAATTAAGAAATTTAGCATGCATCCAAATTTTGGAAAAGGCATGTTTATTTCAACATCAAAGTCGCATAAATTGCGAAAACAAACAGTTTTGAAGGAAATTATATATATATAGAGGTATAAATATCAAACAAAAAAAAATAAAAGATATGTATAACTTGATTAATGTTCAATATCCACTGTTTCTGACTTTTTTGATTCCCACAACAAAATGACTTTGTTAAAGACTGTAACAGAGAGAGAAATACAACTTTGGAAAAAAGAAGTAATGTTATGTCACATCACTGAATACTTTTTCTTTCTTTAACTCTTTTTGAAATTTTGAATACATAAAGGAAAGAATGATTGATAATTTATTCATTAACACACGTATGAAACGTCCAATAATAGAGTTATTTCTTTTTGATCATTTTTTCAATAGCGAAGAAAAAATTTTTTTTTGACTCTAGCGTAAGTTAAATGGGAACTAGCTGCAGCAATGTAAATGTTTCCTTTTACCTAGGTTAACTATAGTAGTGGTTATAAATAAAATATACGCGAAAGATATGGTTAAAATATTTTATTTGCTAGTGGCTATCTCACAGAGCATCATGTAGCATTTTTGGATATCTACAATAAGACAACAGTAACATTATCCTGAAGTCATTATCAAGTGGTCTGAGATGCAAACTTTAGCTGCACTTTACTATCGAACCATTGGAAGTCAATGTACATAATAGAGTTTATCATTATAATCATATGGTGTTATAGTCGACAAATAACTATAAACCTGTTCAAAAACTTTTTCTTGTAGCATAATATAGAGTTGAGTATCTTGACAATGTTTCTGTGTACATACATAAACACCATAGCTAAAAGAGGCGATTTAAGATGATATTAGTAGGATTTTAACTGTTTTACGTGCCTGATCAATACTAGCTTTTTCGTTTGCTTTGAATGTTCTGAAAATATGAAATGGTATGAGTTTAAAGATATAATATTGGAGTAAAAGTATAATTATGAATCACAAGTAAATAGTGCAGTTTTAATCTATCCAATGGCATAAAGCTCATCAAAATCAATTGTCAAAGAAGGGCTTGCAATTGCAATGCATTGTTCCCAAAGTCCGTTTATTTTTTTCTGAAAATACAAATTTTCTTGATCTATTGTCTTTTTGATATATACACAACAAGAACTATAAAAGTCCTAAAGAATCCTTTGGTATAATTGATTGAAAATCAGCATATTTATGCCGGATTTAAGACTATTTAGGAGTGACAACGACAAACCACTTAGAGAAATCTAACAAAAGATCAGTTATATCATTTTACTGACAAAGTTAGATGAACTTAGTAGAAAAGACAGTTGCTATTGAGACCGCTTCCTTTTATATGGAAACTTGTCAATTGCGTTTAAAAAATCGCTTTAATTACCATTTCACTAATGTTTGCAGCGTAATATCCGAGTCCAAACATGGATCAAACATTCTTTTAGGAAAGAATTAAGAATTTCTATGACAAGATCACGGACCAGCTAACAATTATGGCCATTTTATAAAAAAATATTGGATCAAACTACACATTCAGTTGGACACCATTTCATGTCTCTCACTATTATTTTATATCATTTTTCTAGAAAATTTATTATATTAGATTTAGAATCCATGCATGAAATCAAAATGAATAATATATTATGGTTTATCATTCAACTTTATTTGAAAAAAACAAAGTTTTGTTGAATCTATAATGATTCGTCGACTATATTTTTATCGATTTTTTCAAACATTTTCTGATCAGATAGAATAAGAAAAATATTTTGAAAACGAAATAAAAAGAAATTGATAGACAGCATATTTGACATACTATATAGAAAATCATTGAAGAATTTTTAAGAGAAAAAATATTTTCTTATGATAAAGAATGTCAAACAATATAATACGCTTTACAGACATTTGAACATTTTCTTAACTTTTTCATTAATAATTACATATTTTTTTCTCTGTTAACTAAACTTTAACAGATGTTTAAATTTATATATGACTATGTTTTTTTTCAACATCTGTCTATTCATGATTTCGAGTGTGTTCATCATTAAATGTAGTGTTAATATTGTATATATTTTTCATGTCTCTTCAATCGTATAGTATCAAATTATATAAATGAAGTAGTATAAATATAATTCATTCTCTTTTTATCTAATTTATTTCTTCTTATAACTATCAGTTGTCAAAGATCGAATATATTTTTCTGTATTAGATTTTAAATTATATTTTCTAGAACTATTACTAAAAATTTTTCTTTGCTTATTTTTGTCTCTTCTGTTCTTTTTTTGTTATAATGACACGCATCAAAAGATAATCGAACATTATCAACTATTGATAAAAATCAAATTCAACTATGCTAATCGATACAACATATAGATTATAAAATCGAAGCATGATGATTAAAATAGTGAAGAGAACAACAATACTTCATATTTAGGAAATAATTTATCCCACGTAAAAACTAAATCTCTCGGTTTGAAGGAAACAAAAAGTTTCTTTTTATTATTAACATTTGAATTATATTATTTTTATTTAGAGAAAAGAATAGAAAGGCGTAGGTCAAATTCTAAGATTTTTTTTTGTTTCAGTAAAATCAACTTTTTCAAGTGACCCTGATTTAGGAAAATTAAAATATGTAAGTACATTTAGTAACACATTGCAGTCTTATTGATAGTAAGTAAAGTTTTATATAAAAGATGCGCAAGAGTCGCGTAAAAATTACGACTTGTCTAAAAAATGTTTACTGGAGAAGAGACTTTGCAAATGGGATTAAAATAGATTTTATTAGTCGGAATTTCATGTTTAAATTTTCTCATTTTATGATGAGCATTCATAGTGCAGAAACATATCCGTTAAACTGGCAAGTCACTAACGAGTGAACATTCCTAAGTGAAGCACTCCGATTTTGTTCAAACCTGACAATTTATATGTAGTGAAGGGCGCTGATTACGAATATGATAGCCGTTTGTGCTCACACACCTTTCCTAGCGTTTCTCTGGAGAACTCGTTTTCTAGAAATCTCCTGAAATCCTAGCAATGTTTTATCAACATATTGGAATTGTAGCCTGAAAATTTTACATCAAAATGAGACGCTTCCCAGCTCTTCACGACCTTTCTTTGCAAAGTTACAGAATTTACAAGAGAAGCCCTAAAT